GAGAGAGAGAGAGAGAGAGAGAGAGAGAGAGAGAGAGAGAGAGAGAGAGAGAGCGATACAAGATTGGTTGTCATGTACTTGTTGAAGAGCGTTGTGCGGTCCAACAAAGTGAAGAGGCGGCCATAGTGGCGGAGCTCAGCCACAGAGTAATGAAGGAGGATGTGAGAAGAGAGACGGAGAGGGAGAGACAGATAAGAGTGAGGAAACCATAGCCGAGGAGAAGAAGGGAGAGACGAGTATAAGAAAAAAAAAAAAAAAAAAAAAAAGAATGCAGTCAGGGTGAAAGAAGGAGGCGAGGAAGGAGAAAGAAAGAGGAGGGTGGTGAGGAAAAAGAAGGCGGTAGCCATAGCCGAGTTGAAGGTTGACTAAGGTGTTGACCGAAGCTGGCTTGGGCGTTGACCAAGGCGTTGACCAAGATTGACTGGTGCGTTGACCAGAGGTTTGACCAACGTGGACCCAAGCGTCGACCAAGGCTGTTGACTGCGACTTTGACCAAGCTGGAGTTGGTATAGTCTCGCCAAGCCTTCAGCTGATCCCCTCGCCCTATGGATGTGCACACACCCTGTGGTACTTGCTAAGTCAAGTCTGTTTGTCTCTTCTGTCCAGGTGATAGGAACTCTGTGGATGAAGGATAGGGCCTTGTTGACCAAACCCACACGGGCTGAGTAGGGCTAAAGCTGTGTCTGACGACTCGACTGTCCCGGAGGACACGAACCCTCCCAAGGACCGATACTGACCGGCAGGCTGCTCGGTGTGGCACGGTAGACCCAAAACCCGAGCTTTGGGCTGCACAACAGGCCGTCTAAGTCTTGAGAGGACCTGCTGATCGCGTCGTCCTGTCTGCGACGTTAAAGAATTCCTGAGGAGTTACGGGGGATCTCCTTAAATGCTTCCTGATCAGCAACAGGTCCTGTAGTGAAAACCTTAGAGTAGGTCCAGGCTAGTGACCCTAGTTGACAGAATCCTGTCCGGATTCTGTGGTCCTTAGATTGAGTCAGTAGGTCTTGTCAGTCAAGGGGGTAGAGTCTAAGTGGTGAGGAGTGGAACCGTTATCCGGTTGTGCACCTGAAACCATGGTTGACACACGTAGTGGTAAGAGTACTGCCCCACAGTTCGAAGCTAGACAGGCACGGATCGCTGCCATCCTCCAGGAGAGAAAAGAGAAGAGGGAGAAGAAAGAGCTCCTCAAACAGGCGAAGTTGAAGGCGATTGTTGAGGAGCAGGCGACAAAGAAGAAAAAGTTGGAGGAGGAGATGTTAAGGTTGCAGCAGGAGGAGGAAGAGAAAAGAAAGGCTGTTGAAGAAGAAGCAGCAGTAGAGGAGGAAGAAGAAGAAGATGAACCCCTCGAAAGGAGGCGTAGGGAAGAGAGAGGAGAAAGCAGTGGCACCAAGAAAGAGGATAAGTGGGAGAATAAGATCAATGAGTGGGTGGCTAACTTATCGTTGGGAGAGGAGGAGGAGGCAATGTTGTATGTGCCTCAGGAGGAGAAAGAAGCATTCGCCAGGGAGCTGGAAGCGAAGGAGGACCCCCTAGAACACCAGACGATGGAAAAAGATTAAAGATTGGAGTGGAAGTTGCGTCTGACAAGGGAAAAGAAGAGGAGGAGAGAGGAGGCCAACCAGATGGCATAAGAAGTGGAGAAGATTCAGACGTGTAGGCAGCAAGTGCAAGCCCAACGAGAAACCCCTGATAAATTAGATAAGATTTTGGGTTACCTTGAAATTTTGAGTCAGGTCTGGCTAGAGCAACATCAGGCCAATAAGGGTCAAGAAGTGACCCTTCATTCCATCCGGACCAGTTTTAGAGAGTTTGCGAGCGACGTGGTGACTCACGTCGGGACTGAAGTCCAGAGACTTAAGGAGGGCGCAGAGAAATTTTGTGCCAGCGCCATTGAAGGCGCCAAAGTCGTGGACGCGGCAGAGGCTGAAGCACGTCCTCGCAAAGAGCCAGTAAAACTCAAGTTTCCTGATGCGTATGGCGGGAAACCCGAAGAAAACTTCGATAACTAGGAGGCTAGCGTTAATAGTTATGTATATTTACAACATAGAAAACTTCGATAACTAGGAGGCTAGCATTAATAGTTATGTATATTTACAACATATCTTGTCTGAGGAACATGTCCTAGTAGCCTTCCAGGTTCTGAAAGGTGATGCGGCCAGTTTCGCAAGGTCCCTAGCACGTGCAGCCGATTGTGAAAACAACATGGTTCCCTATTCAAAGATAACCCCCCTTCCTCGATTCTTCAAACTCCTCCGAGAGCGGTTCGCTGATCTTAGGCGTGGTAATAAGGCCTCAGACAAACTCCAGACCATCCACTCATGACAGTGGAGGAGTGCGCGAGCACTCAAAGCCGTTATGGACGACTTGGTAGCCGTCCCAGACCACGGGGTCATTGAGGCCCAGTTGGTCCAATTGCTTTTCCGTGCCATGCCAGAGCCCTTACGAGGGCATTTCTTTGACAAGAGCCAACAGCCCACCATGACGTATGATGCATTGAGTAGAGAGGTGGTGTTGTATGAGACAAAGTCCATGTTAGTGTCCACTTTCTGGCACAAGGACTTAGACAAGGGGAAAAAGTGAAAGGGTCGGACCATCTCAGGCCAGGTCAGGGCGAAGGATCACATGATCCTTACATTAGAAGAGAGTGGTACCGACGAAGTCCCCTATAGTCAGATTGAGTGGGGGCTCGAGGAGGAGGACGACAGTGGCATGAGCCAGGGGAGGACCTATGCTGCTGTCGCGGCCGGAAGGAGGCCGCAAGGTAGAGGAGGAGGCCAGGGCCAGCGGGGCCAGGCCTCTAGTGGCCGAGGACAGGGCGCACAGGGGGTTGGCTGCCAAAGAAACTGCCAAGAGGGAGGTAGGGGTCAAGGTACCACGCCAAATCGCTCATGTTCTAGTCGTTCGCTGCAGAGAAGAGGTGGTAGATCGCCTCAACAGACAAGAGGATGGCACCCAGGCTTGCCACAGGGCAGGCCATGGAAAAATTTGGGCCAGGAGCAGCGCGTATGGCAGCAACGCATGGACCAGGGTCAGTGCGTATATTGTCGTGATCTGGCCCACGTTATTAAATTTTGTCCAAAGTACAGAGCCTGATGGGTTGCCCAAGGGTTAAAAGGCAGCTGTCGGTAGGGGTTGCAACTGCCCTACCCCAAGGCCATGTGGGGAAGCGAGCGCGCGCCAACAGGAAACTCCCACACCACAAGAGCCTACGGCAGAGGTTGCAGGCCATTGCCTAGCTAGCTGTCCAGAGATTGTCTGTGTTAGCGTCTCTCTAGGCACTTCCCTCACAGGCGTCGCAGAAGAGTTGAAAGAGAGGATGTCGGCCTGGGCCAAAATGAAGAAGGATAGCAAGGGACAGCTAGTCTTAGTGGATGTAGAGGTTTTCAAGAGTAGAGTAGGGGCCCTTATAGATTAAGGGGCTACCCATAGTAACATTAGCCGTAGAGCGTTAAAGAAGCTAAGACCCCATAGTTAGTGTCCTTGCAGACAACTGCACTGTGCGTGTTGAGGACTACGTAAAGTCCAGACGTATTTCCGCCTAGAGAAAAATGGGAAAGTGGAGAAAGTTCTCCATTCCCTGACTCTCCTCGTACATGACGACCTCCCTTTTGATGTAGTCCTAGGCATGGACTAGGGAGAGGCAGCAGGGGCCACACTCCATTTGAGAGAGCATGAGTGTAGGCCTCCTAGTCCGTCAGGCAAGGTTAAGACTGCCCGTTTGTTCCACGTGTCAGGAGTAGATAACTCGCTGGCAAATTGCTGTCTCAGTGCTCCCGCGTTCGTGCGACTAGTGAGAAAGGAGCAATTAGAAGACCAGGTCTTTGTAGCTTACATTAGACCTATCACTGAGTCTAAAGCAGAGGATCCCATAGACCCAACTATTGCGAAGCTGTTGGAGGGGTTCAAGGACTTAACTGAGCCACCAACAGGAGAAGTACTGCGGCCGATCCAGCACAGAATAGAGATAGAGTCTGGCAGTAGAACTCCTAAGGGAGCAGTTTACAGGATGTCCCTTAAGGAGTCAGAGGAGTTGTGAAAGCAGTTACACGAGCTCCTTGAGAAAGCTTGGATTAGGCCCAGTTCGTCTCCTTTTGGAGCACCAGTTTTGTTTGTCCTTAAAAAGGAGGGAGAGTTACGAATGTGCATAGATTATAGGGGTCTGAATGTGATCACAGCAAAGAACGCTGAGCCACTGCCAAGAATAGACCATCTCTTAGATCGAGTGCAGGGCTGCAGATATTTTTCCAAGATTGATCTGAAGTCCGGGTACCATCAGATAGAGGTACATCCTGATGACCAGTACAAGACTGCGTTCCGGACTAGATATGGGCATTATGAGTTCATAGCGATGCCCTTTGGACTGATCAATGCGCCAGCTACATTTCAGCGATGTATGAATGATTTGTTTAGGCCTTGGTTAGATAGATTTGTCGTAGTTTACTAAGACGACATCTTAGTCTTCAATAGGACCCTCCAAGAGCATCAGGGTCATTTGAGACAGGTCTTGGAGAAGCTGATAACTTCAAGATCAATGTGAAGAAGTGCGAGTGGGCCAAGACACAAGTCTTGTAATTAGGCCACGTCTTAGACGGAGATGGCATTAAGCCTGAGGACAACAAAATAGCGGCGATTAGAGATTGGCCGACGCCCCGCGTACTGTCTGAGTTGCGGTCGTTCTTAGGCCTAGCTAATTACAATAGGAAGTTTGTGAGGAACTTCTCGACTATCGCTGCTCCCCTCGCAGGTTTCTCAAGAAAGAGGCAATCTAGCAGTGGGACAAAGATTGTACGTTTGCACTCAAGAAGTTAAAGCGCGCGTTGATAGAGTAGCCTGTCGTCAAAGTAGCAGATCCGTCCTTGCCATTTGTCGTTACAACGGACGCGAGTCAATATGGTATAGGTGCCGTGTTACAGCAAGATGACGGCAATGGCTACAGACCTGTAGAGTTCATGTCAACGAGGATGCCCGCGGAGAAGGTAGCTACCTCGACTTATGAGAGGGAACTCTACGCTCTCAGGCAAGCCTTAGAGCACTGGAAGCATTACCTGCTTGGGAGGCACTTCAAAGTATATTCAGACCACGAGACTCTTAGGTGGATGAAGACGCAAGCCAAAATGACACCTAAGCTGACTAGGTGGGCTGCCGTGATAGACCAGTATGACTTCGAGCTCAAGCATGTTAAGGGCAAGTACAATGTAGTTGCGGATGCTCTAAGTAGGAGATCAGACTACTTTGGAGCTATAGTCCACTATCTGGATATAGGGAGTGACCTGCAAGAGAAGGTAAGACAGGCGTATGCGCAGGACCCTATCTATAGTGACCTCCTCAAGAGAGTTAAGGAGGCCCCGGAGACCGAACCAGATTACCACACTACGGAGGGTTTATTGTTTGAGAAAACCAATGTAGTAGACCGTTTATGTGTTCCCAACAGTCAGGAAATCCGTAGTCTGATCCTAGGGGAATGCCATGGTACAGAGGGCATTAGCCAACCTGATGCATGCATATACATGGCCAGGAATGAAGAACGACTGCATAGAGTATGTCCGCAGTTGCAAAGTATGCCAGAGAAACAAGACTACTACGCGTGCCCCTCTAGGTCTTCTCAGACCCTTGCCTATCCCTGACCAGCTAGGAGGCACAGCAAGAGCCAAGTCATGGTGATAGTTGATAGGTTCAGCAAGTATGCTGTTTTTGTTCCCTTGCCTGCAGAGGCACGCGCCGAGTTAGTCATTCACAAGTTTTTTTATCATTGGGTTAGTGATCACAGGATTCCGTTGTCCATGGTTAGCGATAGAGATACCCGGTTCACGAGTAAGAACTGGCAGGAACTCATGAAAGTCTATGGGTCAAAGTTGTTGATGTCATTTCGTCGTCATCCAGAGACTAACAGTCAGACTGAACAGATGAACAAGATCCTGCAGCAAGTTCTGCGCATGTACATTAGACCCGAGCAAGTCAATTGGGACGAGATGTTGCCCAAGGTACCCAGTGCGTATAACAACAGCGTGCATTTGTCCACCTGTCGCACTCCCAACGAGTTACACAAGTCCTTTAGACCGCACAGACCGTTTGAGGGACTTAACCGGGATCAGATTCACAGGCTACCGCCCGGTACTAGGGAGTTTGCGATTAAGCACGAGAAGGAATTAGCTACCGTTGTTGAGAACCTCAGGAAGGCCCAGCACAGAATGATAGAACAGGCTAACAAGCACCGCCGCCCATCACAGTTTCAAGTAGGCGACCTAGTCTGGGTCAAGTCCAAAGAGTTTGTTCCTGAGGAGAACATTTCGCAGAAGTTACTGCCAGCGTACAGGGGACCGTGGCCAGTCCTAGAGGTTAAGGGCGGAGAGGATGGGCCGTCTTACACAATAGAGATTCCAGCACACCTCCACACCTATCCTGTGTTCCACGCATCAAAGTTGTTGCCGTATGTCACGAGCCAACAGTTCCCATCAAGAAGATCCATGATCCCTCCGGACATGTATGGAAGATATGGTATTGAGGGCATTGTAGGTGAAGATGTATTTAGAACAGGAGGTAGAGGTCGGCCTCAGAAACAGTATAAGGTCCGGTTTGCTTATCAGGAACCCGAGGACGACCGCTTGTTTACTAGGACTGAACTCTTAGAGACAGCTCCCGACGTAGTTAGAGCAAACGAGAGAGAAAAGAAAGGTAAAGGTCCAGTCTTGAACTAAATTATTCTCGGAG